TTACTTAGAAAGAAACACGGAAGAGGCTGTGGAGATGGCTCCTTTGGCCCGTCCAGTGTAAACATGAGGACCTGGGTACAGTCCTCAGCACTCACATACAAACAGTGTGATATCAACCTCCACATACATGTGCAAGCATGCACACAAAAATAAATAAAACACTTCTTTTTTTATGTAAGTAAGTGCTCTATCTGCATGTACACCTGCATGCCAAAAGAGGGCATCAGAGCCCAGGATAGATGGTTGTGAGCCACCATGTGGTTGTTGGGAATTGGACTTAGGACCTCTGGAAGAGCAGTTACTGCTCTTAACCACACAGCCACACCCCAGCCCCTTACTGGGGGATTCTAGGCAGGTGTTCCACACTAAGCCACACCTCAGCCCCTCACTGGGGAATTCTAGGCAGGTGTTCCACACTAAGCCACACCTCAGCCCCTCACTGGGGATTCTAGGCAGGTGTTCTACACTGAGCCACACCCCAGCCCCTCACTGGGGATTCTAGGCAGGTGCTCTACCACTGAGTCATACCACAACCCCTCACTGGGGAATTCTAGGAAGGTGCTCTACCACTGAGCCACACCCCAGCTCCTCACTGGGGGATTCTAGACAGGTGCTCTACCACTGAGCCACACCCCAGCCCCTCACTGGGGATTCTAGACAGATGCTCTACCTCTGAGCCACACCCCAGCCCCTCACTGGGGGATTCTAGGCAGGTGCTCTACACTGAGTCATATCCCAGCCCCTTATGGGGGCATTTAGACAAGTGCTGTATGTACCACTGAGCTGCATCCTCACTCAGCTCTAAGGTGTTTTTTAGGATGGTCCCTTTTTCTTTTGGATACACAAGTTCGTCTTTGACACATTTGCATAGATTGTTTGCTATTCAAAGCACAGTTCCCTTCCACCTAAGGATGTGCTCTGTCTTGGTTCATCTGTTGCTTTTTCAAAACAGGATCTCACATAGCTCAAGTTAACCTTAGACTCCCTGTGTAGTTCCAGCTGCCCTGAAGCACTGCCTTGGGGCTACAGGCATGCCCCGTTAAACCCAGCTGCACCAATTATCCAGTCCATTGTCAAAAAACCCATTCACACTCCTAAAACCATGTTACAAAATAGGGAGAAATTTTTGTTGCACACAAATTAAAGCATTAAAAAAAAAAAAGAATATGTTGCCATTTACAATGCTGGTCTAGGACCTTTTGAAGAAAAGCGCTGGGTCCCAAGGAGTTAAGAGGAAAGTCCTCTCCGGGTCTCCGGGGGGTGGGGGTGGGAACGGTTTGTTGGGCCTCTGCCAAGGCATGCTCCCCCACCTTTAAGCCTCTCTTTTTTTTCCCTCTCCATCACCCTCCATTCAATAGCTACAGCCTAAAGGAGAGACAAGGGGGGTTTTGTGGAGAACAGAAATAAATAAATAATGGCCTGCCCCAGGTCTCCACGGCAACCGTGACATCACCCTGGACCCGCATGGCAGGCACCATGGGTGGCTTGCCTGTCGTTAAAGGCACCGGGTGGGGAGGGGAGAAGGTGGAGCCTGATGGCAGGTGCAGAACTTCCCCTGCCCCAGAGGGTGATGGGCTTGTCCACCTGTGAGTCTCTCTACCAGTGTTCACCCACCTTCTGACCAGCTGGTGGCAGCGACAATTGTCACCGCCTCTTGGGGGCTTTGCTGGAGCTGATTAACCTGCCTGCTGTGACATGGGCCAGTGTCCTCTGCCTGCAGGGACGGAGCAGCCGATGCCCAGTACTTGTACACATACGGTTACTCTCTCTCAGTTCTTGGAGGGCTGAGTTCCAGCATGGGGGTGTGGGCAGGGCTGGTTCTCTCCAGCTCTGAGGTTTCCTTCCCTAGGTTCTGGGACCTTTGGTGGCCTGTAGATGTTGCTCCCATCACTGCCTCTGTGGCTTTAGGCCATCTTCTGCTGGCAACCGTCTTATATGACATCCTGCTCTATGTTGTTCTCTGCCCTCTGTACATTTTTTTTTTAATTTTTTGTGGTAATGGAGCCTGAACCTTACATATGCTGAACCACACCCCAGCCCCTAACTGGGGGATTTTAGGCAGGGGCTCTACCACTGAGCCACACCCCAGCCCCTCACTAGGGGATTCTAGGCAGGGGCTCTACCACTGAGCCACACCCCAGCCCCTCACTGGGGGATTCTAGGCAGGTGCTCTACCTCTGGACCTCATTGTGCTTTGAGTAAGGACCCCACTAAATTTCCCAGGGTTAGCCTCAGCGTCACTTTATATCTCCGTCAGCTCTCAAACTATGACTCTCCTTTCTCAGCCTCCCACGTAGCTTGGATAACAGGCCTGCACTATTATCCACTATTATCACGACTGGATGCATACCCAGTTCTCTTTCTTTCGTTTAAACATTTTTATTTTTGTATTACGTGTTTGGGCATTTTGTCTGCATGTGTACGTCTCAGATTCCCCGGAGCTGGACTTACAGGCAACTGTGAGCCACCACATGGGTGTGGGCAATCAAACCCTGGTCCTTTGGAAGAACAGCCAGTGCTCTTAAGCACTGAGTTAACTCTCCAGCCCCGCAGTCTTCCCCTGCACAGGCACCCAGACCCTGCGATGGGAAGCCCTGGGAGTTGGTTGTTATGGCTTAAAGAAGGCCTGGGGCTCTCAGCCTGGAGTCTTCATTTCCTCATCTGTCTTTTGAGCTGAGCATTACCCTGTCCATGTGACCACGGGATTACAAGGCCAGAACTGTGCAGTCAGGGGTAGATGCTGTGGAGAGCGGTGGTCAGGGGAGGTGGCTAAGGGGAGGTCCTCAGAGTCATCTAGGTGTCGTGTAAATCAGACACAGGAGCACCAGGGAAAACCACAGGACCTTCGTCCACCTTTTCTCCTCACAGGAGCATCAGAACAAGGCACGGGACCAGTCCTGGTCCTGTGGACCTCTCTCCAGCCTTTGCTCCTGTCTTTCCACACCATCATCCCACAAGCTAGCTTCCAGAAGGCATCCAATAAGTGTTCTGTGGACCACAGTGGTGGAGAGCAAGTTCACAGAGGGCACTAATCAAAAGCTCCAAGCTTACAAGAGTGCCCAATAAATGGCCACTGATGTGTCTGTGACATGGAGACAGCATGGAGAAGGCACTCCACAAATGCTCTACCGACTGTGTCAGCAGAGAGCTGGCATACAGAAGGTACTCAGTGAATGTCCCGGGGACCTAGCATTGATCCAGCACACAGCAGGCACTCAAGAAGACCTTAAGGAGTCGTGCTGTACAAAGGCCTCCGTGTCGCTGTTTGGGGAAAACATGCAGTAAAGAACTGGGTTTGTGTGTTCGCAGCTGTGCCTGTGGGCAGGGCCTCCCCGGTGTTTCTCTCTATCACCTGCTGTTTTGTTACCACCAGACTGTCTGTGTCTGACAGGCTTAGGCTGGCCACTGAGATGCCGGGATCTGTCTGGGGCGCCTTCCTCAGTGCTGGCATTACAGGGGCGTGCGACCATACCCAACTTTTTACATGGGTGCTTGGGATTCAAACCCGGGTCCATGTACTTCTACCTATGGAGCCTCAGCCTGTCCAAGCGGGATCTTGAGGGACCGGACTCTCCAAGTCTTTCGGTGACACCTGACTCCCTCTGGTGGAGGATGCCGGGCAAAGCTCCAGGGGAAACTTGGGCGCCTGTGTGCGGAGAACACTGCTCAGCTGGCTGCCTCTGTCTGTTGGGCTGGGAGGCTGGTGTGGACAGGAGCTTCTAACTGGAGACCGGGGACGCCTCTTCCTGGCCTCACTGAAGTGCCCTTCACACTCACGTCATGGCAGAGCCAGGCCCAGAAGCCTGCTGAGCTGGGACCAGGTTTTGTGTGCTACCTGGTGAGGTCACTTCTCTGCTCCGAATTGTGCTGTGTGAGAATGCAGTATTTAAAAATTATTTATTTATGAGACAAGGCTCAATATGTAGCCCTAGTGGGCCTGGATCTCTCTCTCTGTAGACCAGGCTGGCCTCGAATTCACAGAGCTCTGCCTGTCTTTGCCTTGTAAGAGCTGCGATTAAGGGTGTTCACCACAAGTGTTTATCAATGAGTAGATGTGTGTGTGTCTGTACATATGTGCAGGCATCCAGGAGGCAAAAGGGAGTCTGATAGCCTCAGACCTGCAGCTCCAGGGGTTTGTGGGCTGCGTGGTGTGGGTGCCGGGACCTGAACTTGGACCCTCTGCAAGAGTGGTAGGAACAGAACTACCGAGCCATTTGTATCACCAGGATTTCTGATTTTTTAAAGAGAAACTTAGGTCTGGGAAGGAGGCTCAGCAGGTAGAGTGCTTGCTTAGTTTGTATGAAGCCCTGAGTTCCAACTCCGGGGCCGCCTGAGCCAGGAATGGCTGTGCATGTCTGACATCCCCAGCACTCAGCACCCCTGCCTCCACCCGCTGAGGGCAGGGATTACACACTTGCACCAGTTAGGTGTGAGGCAGTGGAGTGGAGCTCAGAGCTTTGTGTGTGCTAGGGAAGCCCTCCACCAAGCTGCAGTCCTAGCCCCAGGAAAGGGCTTTTCTCTCCCAAACAAACATCGCGTTGAGGATTAGACACTAAACACTTAGCTGTAAAAAGACGTTTATTGCTCAGGGCTAAGGAGACGGCTCACTGGGTCCAGCGCCTGCTGCACAACCCGTGTAAAAGGCAGACCTGTAATGCCCGAACTTGCAGCGGAGGGTGAGAGGGGAGATCTCTGACGTCGCCGGCTGGCCGGCCAGCCTCGTTGAAATGGCGAGTTCTAGGTTCAGTGAGAGACCCCGCCTGAAAAAATAAGAGAGGGGTGCGACTGGGGCAGGCACCCGCTGTGGACCGCTGGCCTGTGTGTACGCACAGAGGCAAGCACCCCTAAACTGTGTAATATCTAAACTGTGTAACGTCTAAAACTGTGTAATACGCAGAAAGGGAGAAAAGAGGGAGGGGAGAGGAGGGAAGGTGTGTGAGTGGGAATCTGGGCTCCGGCTTCCTCGGCCAGTCTTTCTGAACCCCCACCTCTCCTTGCAGGTTTATGAACGACCGAGTCCCGGCGCACAAGAGGTACCAGCCCACTGAATACGAACACGCAGCCAACTGTGCCACCCATGCTGTGAGTTGACTTAGGAGGCGCTGATACGGGGACCCTTCCGGTGGGGGCAGGGAAGGCGCTCTTCTCAATCTGTTGTGTACGTGTTGTGTGTGTGTGTGTGTTTAAGCAGTTGAGTGTGGGTGCCCAGAGAGGTCAGAAGAGGGTGTCAGGTGCCCCGGGGCTGGAGTCACAGGCATTTGTGAGCTGTCCAGTATGGGCCCTGGGATTGAACCCAGGTCCTCTAAGAGAGCACCGAAGGCTGGGCTTGATGGTTGTGAGGGTGCACACTTTAAAAAAATATATTTTATGCATATAATCGTTTTGCCTGCATGTGTGTATACCAACCACATGCTTGCCTGGTGGCTAAGGAAGTCAGAAGAAAGGGTCATATTCCTTGGAACCAGAGTTACAGAGAGTCTATATGGGTGCTGGGAACTGAACCCAGGTCCTCTGGAAGAGCAGCAGTGGGTGCTTTTAACCACTGAGATGTGTCTCCAGCCCTTTCCCCTCTTCCTCCTACTCCTCTTCTTTGAGATAGGGTTTCTCTGTATAGTTCTACCTGTCCTAAAACTTTCTCTGTAGACCAGGCTGACCTTGAACAGAGATCCTCCTGCCTCTCTGCCTCTGCAGTGTGGAAATAAAGGTGCGCACATCTTTCATCTCAGCACTCTGGAGGCAGAGGCGGGAGGATCTCTGTGAGTCTGGGGCCAGTCTGGTCTGCATAGTGAGCTCCAGGACAGCCAGAGCCACACAGAGAGAGCCTGTGTCAAAAATAAAGAAATGAATTTAAAAAGAAAGAAAAGAAAAGGAGCACTGATCACTCTCAGCTAATGAATCATCTCCTTGGCTCCTTAAAATTATTTAGTTTTTGTGTATGTGTGAAGCTCAGAGGACCAATTTCAGGAGTGAGTTCTTTACTTGCACTGTGGGACACGGGGACCAAACTCAGGCTTGCATAAGAAGCCCTTCTGCCCTCTCCATCTTGTTTATGGGATGCTGTCTCTCACTAGCCTGCTGACCCCAGGGACCTGCCGGCGTCTGCTCCCTGATACTGGGGTTCCAAGCACTAGCCACGGGGCCCAGCTTTGGACACGCTGGAACAATTCCCACGACCTGGAGTGCGTGCCACCCCTGCCCACCCGTGCCTATTCAACCCTTTCCATCTTTCACGGTCTTGCCAGAGCACCCTCCTCTAAGGCTCCCCCGATGGCCCAGAGGTGCAGGGGAGGCCTGAGAAGGTGTCCATCACTCAGTTGCAGCAGTAGATGATGCCAGAGGTTGCTACGACCCTGAAAGGCGGGCTAGTGGGACCGCCTGCGCGCCAACACTCAGGAGGAAAAGATGGAAAGTTTTGGGGAGGCAGGTCACAGGTTTATAAAGGTAAATAATACAGGGGTTCATTTTCTATAGCCAGCTGTTGTGTGGCCTGCCCCTTCCCCATCTCTTCTTGAGATAGGGGGGGTCTCATGTAGCCCAGGCTAGACTTAAACTCACTGTGTAGCTAAGGATGAACTTGAGTTCTGGTCCTTCCTTCAGTTTCTACCTCCTAAGTGCGGGGATTAGAGGTGTGTATGACCATGCCTGCTTTATGTGGTTCTGGGGATGGAACCCAGGACCCTGGGAATGATAGACAAGCCTTCTACCGATGCAGCTATGAAACTGTACATTTTAAAAACCTTGAAAGAAGGTTGGGGACATAGCTCAGTTCGTAGAGCCCTTGAACAGTGTGAGGGAGGCTTTGGGTAGCACTCACAGTGCTGTAAACACGCAAACCAAGAAACTTGGAAGGACTTTTGAAGTTTTCATCCTAAAGCAACAATAATGTTTGAAGACAGCTGTCTTTGACCTGAGTTCGGTTCCTAGCACTTGTAGGAACTGACAGCTCCCAACAGCCGGTAACTCCATCTTCTGGGACTCTGACTCCCTCTCCTGGCCTCTGTTGGTACCTGCACTCATATGCACCACCCAAGCATAACTAAAAATAACCACGTAAGTAGTGGTGATGATGATGATACTCTGCAAGGAGTGTGGTGGCACAGGCCCGTGACTCTAGCCTTTGGGAGGCAGAGACAGGAGGTTACGAGTTTGAGGCCAGCTTGATGAGAGAAACTGTTTCAAACAGAAATTTCATGGCACCACATTAACATGAACAACTTTTAAAAATCTTTGTGTGTGTGTGTGTGTGTGTGTGTGTGTGTGTCTGTTTGTATGTAAGAGTGTGAGCACCCATTGCTGTGGTGCAGCTGTGGAGGGCGAAGGACAATTTCAGGTGTCCTTTCTCATCTTCCACCTTGTTTGAGATGGTCTCTGTCGCACTGGTGTAGGCCAGGCTCGCTGGTCCATGAATTTCCGGGTGTTCTTTCGTCTCCCTGTAAAAATGCTGGGATAATATAAAAGTGCCAGGACTATAGACACGTGCTATCATGTGATCCAAACCGCAGGAATAAGGGTCCCAAACAGAGGGGTTGAGGGCAGGAACCAGGAATAAGAAAATGAGAAGACAGAAGGCTGGGATCAGGAGGCCCGAAAGAGTTTGTGACACACGCCAGCAAGTTAAGAAGGGCAGCACCTTTTCCCCCCTCCAGAGACAGGGCTTCTCTGTGTAGCCCTGGCTGTCCTAGAACTCCCTCTGTAGACCAGGCTGGCCTCCAACTCACAGATCCACCTGCCTCTGCCTCCCGAGAGCTGGAATTAAAGGCGTGCGCCATCAGCGAATCTTATACGCTGTTTGCAGGGGAAATGGGACAGAGTCAGCAGAAATCTGCCGCACAATGGGCCATTGTCAACAGGAAGCTAATCAAACAATGTTGCACAAAAGGGACACAGCCTATCTCAACCATGTCACAGGCTGGGCACACAGCGGCCTTGGGACAGATAAGCCCGTTAGTAGGGAAGAGTTGGGTTCCCAGGATCTGAAACTTCGGCTCCTCCTAGACTCTGGTCATTACTGATTCCGTCAAACATGGTCATGTTTTATTTTTTGTTTGTTTTCTTTTAAGATGTATTTATTTATTATTTATGCAGTGTTCTGCCTGCATGTATGGCTACACACACCAGCAGAGGGCACCAGCTCTCATTATAGATGGTTGTGAGCTACCATGTGGTTGCTGGGCACTGAACTCAGGACTGTTTGGAGGAACAGCCAGTGCTCTTAACCTCTGAGCCATCTCTTTAGACCGCATGTTCACGTCTTTAAACAAGGAACTGCATTCCTTCTCCACCCACCAGGGCCGTGGGGAAGGCCTTAGATTGGCATGTCCGGCTTGAAGCGAGTTCTCGGGATCTGAGCTCAGTTCTTCACATTGTGAAGTGCATTAGGTACAAGTTTTAAGTTGTAATTGTACTTTCGTGTCTGTGGATATCTTGCCTGGAGGCATGTCTGCTCGCTGTGTGCATACCTGGTGCCCCCAGCTCTTGACTGATGTTCTCTCTCACTGCAGAAGAGAGAGAAGCTCATCAGGATGCCAAGCTTCATTTTCTGTAGGAGCAGAGGGGCTCCTTCTTGCAAAGACTGACACCTGGCTAGCTCGCTCCAGTTAGTTGGGGCCGGGAAAGGTTCCAGCTACCATAGTATCTTGCTCCTGCTGCCCATGAGGTCAGACAACCCACACAAACCTCTGCCCCTTTGACCATGGCTCGCCATAACCAAAAGTAAGAACTCCAGGTGTGCCCGGAGTGTCTCAGGACCCAGGTCTGTGCAGCTGCAAGCTCCCATGTAGCACCTAGTGTAGATTCTCCAGAGAGACGACGTTTCTTCAAGGTTAAAACAGTCTCAGAATAATTTCTCAGCCTCTACCGATTGACCCAAACACAGCCAAGGCTTTGCTGAAACATCTCACTCAAAACCAGACACAAAGCCTTTACTGTACATATCTCAACAAGAAAGGCCAGAAGATGGGATCAGATCCACTGGAGCTGGAGTTACAGACAGTTGTGAGCCAACATGTGCGTGCTGGGAATTGAACCTGGGTCTTCTGGAAAAACAGCCAGTGCTCTTAACTACTGTCCTGTTTCTCCAGGCCCCAATAGGTACAATTTTTTTTTGTGTGTTTTATGTGTCAGAGTGTCTGGAAAATGAAAATGGAATCCAGTCCTCTGAAGTAAAATGTCTCACGTCTTCAGTGGCACCGTTGGCCTTCACGTGCCTGCTAGGCACCATATTGTCTAAGCACTGGGCAGCCCGCTCTTGCCTCACATTTCCCATGGTCTTAGGAACCGAGATGCTGCTCGGCGGCAAAGCAGTTGCGGGGTAGCAGTGAAAATAAACGCACTGCTGAGGGCTTCGAAGACTGCGGGAAATGTGTGTTTTCTGATGGTCGAGACCCAGAGGTTGAGAACCGCTGACCTAGAGAAAGGGACGGAGTCAGTGCAGAGGTCCGGGGGCTACGGACTCCCCTGGGCGCTTCAAAAGTCTGAGCCTGGCCCAGGGGAGATGGCTCAGTGGGCAAAATGCTTTCTACACAGGCATGAGGACCTGAGTTCAACCCCCAAGGCCTGCTCGGTGGAAGGAGAGAGCTGGCTATTATTCCTCTGACCTCCACTGGTGCACCCTGACGAATGTGCACACACACACACACACACACACACACACACACACACACACACACGCATGCATGCACATACAAATGAACACACAGACATGCACATACATGCACGCATACACATGTACACAAGGGCACACGCACATGCATGAGCAAGAAAGTGTACCCCGCTGCTGTATAAAGTCACACAAAGAGCCTGGGATTAAAGGCCTGCGCCCCGCCGCCCCGCAAAATGTGTCTGTTTTTTAAAGAAGGCCAACACTGCTCTGTCCTCCCGCCTCTAGTTCTGGATCATTCCCAGCATCCTTGGCAGCTCCAACCTCTACTTCCTGTCGGACGACGACTGGGAGAGCATATCCGCCTGGATTTACGGCCTTGGCCTCTGTGGCCTCTTTGTGGTATCCACCGTTTTCCACACAGTCTCTTGGAAGAAGAGCCATCTCAGGTAGGCCCCTGCCCAATCCGGGGACGGGCACACAGACGCACGCTCTGTACGCACAGTCAGAGGCGTGTCCGTCTTCACCTTGATGGGGGCCCCCGAGGCGTCTCCACAGTGACAGAGTGACGGGCAGCCTGGTCGCCCCCAGGCCGCACTGGGGGTGCTGCCAGGCGCCGTGCCACACAGGGGCTGTGACCTGCCACCTTCTCTCCCCGCCCAGGTCGGTAGAACACTGCCTACACATGATCGACAGGATGGCCATCTACTTCTTCATCGCGGCCTCCTATGCGCCCTGGTGAGTGACCCCGCCCGCCGCCGGCTGGCTTCCTTCCTCCTGCTGGGATCTGTCTGCCTTTGCGTGGGTGACCCGTGAGAAGACATGCCCGCCCTCACTCTTGTGCCGAGAAACACCTGCTCGTTACCAGTGTCTTGTGTATCCTTCAAGGGTTGTTGTAGGCCTAAAAAGAGCAAACGTGTATGCCTGCCTCCATGCAAATACTTATGTATATATTAACATATATTAACATATATTTGCGGCTACAAGTAGATGTCTTCGGCTGTATAGCTGTATAGAGACGCTTGCACATATATGCAGAGAAGCGTGTGTTGTTGTTTTCCGTGTGTGTGACACAAGGTTTCAGGTTACCCAGGATGGCCTTGAATTCCTGGTTGGCCATGGATTTCTGATGCTCCTGCCTCCACTTTTCCAGTGCTGAGCTTTCAAGTGGACACGATGGTGCTTGGCTTATATGCGTGTTTTAAAAGCATTATTTATTGCTGGGTGTGGCTGCCCACACCTGCAATCCCAGCACTTGGGAGGCAGAGGCAGGCGGGTCTCTGAGAGTCTGAGGTCACCAGGGCCACATAGTGAGACCTCAACAAAAGTAAATTACTCAGCTTTTGTGTTGCTGGGAGTCAAACCTATCACTGAGCCACACTCCTCCTGTCTTTCATACACATTGTATGTGTATTGTACATTAGAAAGTGTGTATTTAGACAAGTGTGTGGTGTGTGCTTGCAACCCCCGAGTTTGGGGTGGAGAGAGTGGGCTCCTGTAGCAAAACAAAATAAAACCCAAAGTATATATTTCCTCCTATTTCTCTGTGTGTGTGTGTGTGTGTGTGTGTACGTTGTGTGTGTGTGTGTGTGTGTGTGTGTGTGTGTGTGTGCGCGTTATGTGTGCTGCTGTCCAGGACCATCCTCAGTCATTACTCACCTTGTTCACTGAGGCAGGATCGGGGATTTGCCCCATCACATTTCTTCCACACAGAAAGTTAAGGGCTACTTTAAAAAATAAAATCAGTGTGATGTGGGTGCAACCCCCGGGCTTTCTTTCGTAGTGCTAGGTCAACACTCTCCCTCCCACACTCTTTCTGAGATGGGATCTTGCTGTGTAGCCTTGACTGGTGCTGAATCTCTGTGAACAGGTCCTCTGACTCCAGACTCCAGGCTCCAGTCTTCCTGAGCCGCTGGGGCTACAGGTGTGGTGCCAAGCATTCCCACTTGATGTCTTTGTAATGACAATTATATACTGAGGAGAGGGCATCCTCCTCCTTCTCCTTCTCCTTCTCCTCCTTCCCTCTTTCTCTTCCTTCTCCTCCCCCTCTTCCTTCTTCTCCTCCACCTCCTCCCCTCTTCCTGCTCCTTCTCCTCTACCTCCTCTTCCTTCTCCTCTTCCTCCTCCTTTTCCACCTCCTTCACCTCCTCCACCTCTTCTTCCTCCTCCTCCTCTTTCTTCATCTCCTTTCCTTTCTTTCAGTGGTTGGGAGCATTTGCTGCTCTTGTGGAGGACCTGAGTTCAGGTCCCAGCACCAATGTTGGGCAGCTCACAAAACCCTGTACCTCTAGTTTTAAGGAATATGACGCCCTCTTTTGGCCTCCACTGGCATGTGCACTATGTGCACACACACACAGCTGTAAACATAAGTTTTTAAAAATGTTAAAGGCTTTCTTATCAGAGGAATTCATTCTAGAGAAGCTCGTGTCTTCCTCCAAATTTACACGTAATTCATCTTGTGTGCAAAAATGGAGCCACCCATCCTGGAGGGGTTCCCTACATCTGTGAGCATAACTAAGATCACCCCTCACAGGCTCCCTCAGGGCCTCTTCTAGATGATTCTAGATCTCAAGTTGACAGCGCTAACCACCACATTTGCTATTCTTTTTTAAATAACTATTTACTTTTATTTTACATGCATTGGTGTTTTGCCTGCATGTATGTCTGTGTGGGAGTGTTGGATCCCTGGAACTGGAGTCCTGGGCAGCTGTGAGCCAGCTGTGGGTGCTGGGAACTGCACTCTGGTCCTCTGGAAGAGGAGCCAGTGCTCTTAACTACTGAGCCATCTCCCAGGCCCTGCTGTTCTTTTTGTTTTTTCATATGGCCACATTCACCATGCCCAAGTATATACAGCTCACTGAGCTTCTGTAAAGTGAGAGGACGCTGTGGAGCTCCACCACAGATTTTATTTGTTCTTTATGAAATATATTATTGTGCACCTATCTGTTACACAAAACAGAAAATACAGGACAGAGTTAGACCCCGAAAAACTATCAGCTTTATTTCCTCTTTTGTAACTTATATTGGTTGCCTGCACTCAATTCTCCTTCGCCCCTTAATCTTCAGCCTTTGTTGTCTTTGCAACATGCTATGCACACATGGATATTTGTTCATACACACAGTTGCATAGGTATTCATTTTTAATTATGTGTCTGTGTGTGACATTGTGTGTGTATGCCCACGTACATAGAGGTACCTATAAAGGCCAGAAGAGGGCGCCAGGTCCCTTGAAACTGGAGGTGCAGGTGACTGATGTGGGTGCTTGGAATTGAACCTAGGTTCTCCAAAAGGGCAACAAATCTCTCTCTCCCTTCCCTCTCTCTCCCTTCCCCCTCTCCCCGTCTTCTTTCTCTGTCACCTTACTCATTTCCTCCCTCCATCTAGTCATCCATCTTCCCTTTGTCTGTCTATTCCTCCCTCCTTCCTTCATCCCTCTCTTTTTCCCTCCCTCCCTCTCTCCCTCCTTGCCCTCTCTCTGAGGATGGATCTCACTATGTAACCCTGTAAGGCCTGGAACTCACTACATACACCAGGCTGGGATCCATCTGTCTCTGCCTCCCCGGTGCTGGGACTAAGGGTGTGTGCCACCACGACTGGCACACACAGTCACAGAGGCATCTTTCCAAGCTTGCTATTCTGGTCTCTTTGCTCCAACATCTACTAACAGCCTCTGCGGATCTCAGACAGTCTATACCCTATTTTAAAATGACTATGAACAGGGCCTTTAGGATGACTTAGCCAGGTGCAGGGGCTCATGTCCTTAATCCCAGAACTGGGGAGGCAGAGGCAGGTGGATTTCCATGAGTTGAGGCTAGCCTAGACTACGTAGTGAGTTCCAGGACAGCAAGTGCTACATAGAGAGACCCTGCCTCAAACAAAGAAACAAACAACAACAACAACAATTAAAAAAAAATGGCTTAGCAGGTTAAAAAAAAAAAAAAAAGATGCACGCAGACAGCCCTGACTTCTGCAGACAAATCTCGAGTTCTCTCCCCATAAACCACACAGTAGATGAGAACCAACCCCCCAAAGTTGTTCTCTGACCTCCACACATGCGCCATGGTGTATGGGCACACCCACATACCCACAAACAAAACAAACATTAAAAAAAATTAAAAAGCTACAGATGTATATTCAAAATACTGTATAAAGTTACAAGAGCTGGGTATGGTGGTGTATATTAGGGTTCTTTAGAGAAACAGAACCAGCGGAACGTGTGCATATCGTGAAAGAGCTTTGCTTGTTTCTCTGCGTGGGGTACGTGTGCACACGTGTTCTCGTGCACGTGTGTGCGCAGACACTCATGTGAAGGACAGAGGTCCCGTGAAGGCCAGGCGTCTCCCTGGCCTCGATCTCCACCTTATATTTTGACACCGGGTGTCCTACTGAACCTGTCGCTCACTATCCAGCTGGCCTGACGGCTGAGTGAGCCACAGGGATCCTCCTGTGTCCAACTCCCTGTTCCTGGGGACTGTGTGGGCTCTGGGGATTTGAACTCCTGTCCTCATGCTTGAGTGACTGCACTTTACTGACTGTCTTCCCAGCTGTGAGGTTGGTGTTTTGTCTGTCTCGTGCGTCCCGTGTGTAGCCCGCAGTGGCCTGGAACTGGTGATCCTCCTGCCTCAGCCTCCAGCGTGCTGGGATGACAGGTTTGCGCCACCACTGCAACTTTGCCAGCTCAGTTTGTGCCGCTTTCTACCCCTCCATTGTGAGAGCCCTCGTTGCCCTGGGCAGCCACTGGGGACTGGGCTGCTGTGGCCTCAGCTTCCTGCGACAGACTGCCATGTATCGTTTGGCTGTGGCGGCCCCTTCAGCTTCTGCCCTTGTCTTTCTCTCTCTCAGGTTGAACCTTCGGGAGCTGGGCCCCTGGGCCTCCCACATGCGCTGGCTGGTCTGGATCATGGCCTCCATTGGTACTGTCTATGTCTTTTTCTTCCATGAACGGTAAGTCAGGGCTGGGGAGTCTCAGGCTGGTGAGGCTGTCCCTTAGTTCTTCAGCACCACCTGCTCAGCAGCCTCAAGTAGGTGAGCCCCGGAGAGGACCTCAGAAATGTGAGGATCCAGCCTTTCCTGCCTTCTACCCTTGAGGAGGCTCATTGCTGTACTCCAGGCCCAGAGGGACAGATCTAAAGCAGTGTGTGTGTGTGTGTGTGTGTGTGTGTGTGTGTGTGTGTGTGTGTGTAGGGGCAGAGTTTAATGCTTGGTGACCTCCTCACCACTCCACCTTATTTTTTGAAGCAGTATCTCTCACTGAACCCAGAGCTCACCAGTGAGCTAGCCTGGCCAGCCAGCAGGCTCTAGGGACCCTTCTCCCTCTTCCCTCCTAGAGGTAAGGGCCCAGATGTGTGTGATTGTGCCTGGCTTCTATGTGGCTGCAGGGATCCGAATTCAGGGCTTCCGGCTTGCAGAGAAAGCCTCTTCATCAAGGAAGCCACCTCCCTGAGCCCTGGGTGTTTTCCAAAAAAAGACATCATTGTAGGTGGGTGTTAGGGGAACGGCTCTGTTGGTGAAGTCCCTCTTCAAGCTTCACCAACAGCACAAAGGCCTACATTTGATCCCCAGAACACACTTCAAAAGCCGGACCCAGCACTTACCCACTGCCGGGAAGGCAGAACCAGGAGGGTCCCTGGGGCTTGCTGGCCACCAGCTTACTCTACTTGGCAAGGGCCAGGTGAGTGAGAGACCCTTTCTCAGGGTGGACGGCACCGGGGGATGCCACTTGAGGCTACTCTCTGGCTTCCATGTGTGTGTGTGCACATACCTCACACATATGCGCGTGCATACACACGTGGAGACAGACACATAAAAATTTCACTTCATTTCTGTGTATCTGTGCAAATGTATATGTATACATGTGTGTCCAACGAAGCGAGAAGAGGGAGTCAGATCCCTCAGAGCTACAGGGGGTTGGGAGCTGCCCACCCTGGGTGCTGAGATTTCAACTGTAAGCGCTCTTAACCGCTGAGCCATCTATCCAGCACCCTGCCCTCTCCAGGGGGCATCGTAGGTTATTTGAACCACTGATCTGGTTCACCTTTCACCTGCCTTCCCTAGACCGAATTAGCGGATAACGGGGAAAGCCTTTAGGAGGGGACACACCCTGGAGATTTTTTCTGCTATGGAACTAGAATGAGCATCATTAAGTGGAGAGGAAAAAGAAGCTGGGGGCTGGGGGAGCAGCAGAAAATAACAGCATCACGTGACCGCAACGCCCACAGGGTCCTCCAGGAGACAGACAATCGGGAATAGCCTAGGGTTCAGTTGAGCTAGTAGTCCAGCGTGATCGAGAATGGCTGCTTGCTTGCATCCTGCGGTCCTGGGATTGACTGGTAATGTCTGCCATAGGTCACACATCGGCCACACCCATGGGCTTGCTAAGCTTAAACTGGTAACCCACGGTCTATCTGCAGTGTGCACGTTAGAGGTTTAGGAAGGAGGCTCAGAGAAGAAAGGGGGCTTGTCATGTGGCTTGCCCGAGGTCACATGACTCTCGTTACCTATTGATGCTGCTGGGTAGGATATGAGGCAAGGAGTATCACACAGAGAAGATCTCCCTTTCTCTGTGCTCGTCTTGGGTGCGTGCCCCGCCCCTTCCTGAGAGCATGACCCGAGACCGCATGACTGTCTCCCCAGGTACAAGCTCGTGGAGCTGCTGTGCTATGTGGTCATGGGCTTCTTCCCTGCACTGGTCATCCTCTCCATGGTAAGCGTCACTGGCCCCGAGAGACTCCCAGCTCCTGGAGGGAGCCCTCGTGTTAGCTGGACCTGCCTCCTGGGACGGTCTATGAGACCTTGCCTCCAGCAGCAGGGGGGACGGAGGCCCAGTGGGTCTGTGTGCTAGCCGAAAGGGACAGAGAGCACGGAGCTCTCGCTGCAGCATCCCCATGCCTAACTCTGGGCTTAGGTCTCTATGGCAACGACTAGACAGCTCAAGCAAGGCGCTGACCATGGCGTCTGGCACGCCGTACCTGCTAGGAAACACTGGTGTCATGACCACCATGTGGTTATTCAGCTACAATACTCTTGAGGACCGGGAGTATGTTCTGGGGTGTGTGTTATGGTGTGTGTGTGTGTGTGTGTGTGTGTGTGTGTGTGTGTGTGTGTGTATGTGTGTGTATGTGTGTGTACCTGTGATGAGATGCCTTGGAGTTATTCTTAATACCATATAAATTCTTTTAGCTTCTTTTTTTTGTTGCTGAGACCAAAAGCAACGTGAAGGACTGGACTGGAAAGAGAGCTCAGTGGTTAAGAGCAGTCGTTGATCTTAGAGAGGAGCTGAGTTTGGTTCCTAGCACCCACATCAATCCGGTGGCTTGCAAACACTTTTAACTCCAGATTCAGGGGACCTGGTGCCCTCTGCTGGCCTCCAAGGACACTGCACACAAATGGCGCACCCTCCCCCCCATAACTAAAAATAAAATCAAATTTTAATGGCAATTTAGGAAAGAAGGGGTTTATTTGGGTCACAATTCCAGGTTATAGTACAACGTTGAGGGGAGCCAAGGCAGGAACTTGAAGCTACCAGTCACATCAAGAGCAGAGGGAAGTGAGCAAACACCCAGTCCCGAGGTTACACAGTCCGGGACTCAGACCCGGGAGTCTCCACATGTCAATTATAATAATCAAGACAGGCGCCCTCCGACACACCCACGGACAGCCTGCGGTAGACGTTTCCCTCGTGACTCTCTTCCCAGGTTGCTCCGGAGTGTGTAATCACCACACAGGATCTTTGAGATTTCTAGAAGATGTACTTCTTTCTGAGAGAGTCTCACATAGCCCAGGCTGACATCAAACTCACCATGTAGAATAGTCCTCCTCTTTTGCGGCTGTACGATACTCCTCATGGTCAGTTCTGTTCTCTGTTTAGTTCTGTATTGTTCGTGTCAGACAGAGTTCTTCTCTGCAACCCGGGAACTGTAATCCAGTGCTGGGAAGGACGGCAGAGAGGAATTCTGAGTTTGCTGGCCTAACTGGTGAGCTCCAGGCTAGTGAGAGACCCTGTCTCATAAAAACAAGGTGGAGAGACAGTCAGGGGTGGCTTTAATCCCAACACTTGAAAGGTAGAGGCAGGCTTCTCTGAGTTCAAGGCCAGCCTGATCTACAGAGGAGTTCCAGGACAGCCAGGGCTCCTGAGGTTGGCAGCTTGGAGCATAGTCCTGTGCAGCATCCCTCCACCTGGGCCTCGGGATCCCCCCTGCTTCCTGGCTCTGTGGACTGTAACTCCATTGCCCACCCTGGGTGCTGAGATTTCACAGTCACATTTCATGGTAGCTGTCCTTTGTTTGGGCCAGGCTTATTTCACTTAGCAGTGTGTCCTTGAGGTTCCTTCACATTGTTGCTTGTGTCAGAACAGTTCCTTTTCAGGCTGAAGAATGTTCCATGGTATGAGTATATTAACTGACTCTGTGTGTGTGCGTGTGTGCATGTGTGTGCGCGGTGATGGGGAGTGAACCCAGGCCATTGCACAGTGTGGGCAAGTGTTCTGTTCCTCGGCTGCATCCCTGGCCCTTCTCTCTCTCTCTCTGTCTTAGTATTTAGCTTATGTTCTCCTTAAACTTCCTGTGTGACCCTATTACAAAAGGCAATGACAAAAGTAGCCTTGAGATTTTGGTTAATTTTGTTTGCTCAGGCAGAGCCTTGTGTAGCCTAGGATAACCTTGGGCTTCAAATCCTGCTGCATTTGCCTTCTCCCAGATGCGAGGCCTCTGAGGTTCGAGTTTATCATCATCAAACAATTGTAAATTTGGGAAGTTAACAACATGGCCTAGATGACATCACAGCGTTGAGACTTCCTAGGGGATTCTGGACTTGTTCCCGACTTGCATGTCTTTCTTTTGGGTATCAGGGATGACTAGCTCTTCCTCTGACTTGTGTCCAATCCTTTCTTCTGACAGCCCAACACTGAAGGCATCTGGGAGCTGATGACAGGAGGGGTTTTCTACTGCCTGGGCATGGTGTTCTTCAAGAGTGACGGGAGGATCCCCTTTGCCCATGCCATCTGGCATCTCTTTGTGGCATTCGGTGCTGGTACCCACTACTATGCCATATGGAGGTACCTCTACCTGCCCAGCACTCTACAGACCAAGGTGTCCAAATGAGGCAGCCCAGACGCTGTGGCTCATTTGGACTTTGGGGTCAAAGCATCATGAGAAGTGAACTCTGAACCCAGATCATAGTGCCAAGGTCTGCCTGCCTTTTCCTGGATGGAATTCTTCGTGGGTCTGAGGTCCCTTTCAGTGACAGCCAGACTACCTTTTGATTCTCCAGCAAGGAAGAAAACGTCTAGTCATTTCCATGGAGGAGAAATTAATTCAGTACTGTGTTTCTACTTTAGACATTTTTTTTTTTACTATAACCAATATTAACAAAAAAGGGCAATAGGGAATTACCATCCAAGAGGTAATTTTTAAGGTCTTGAAGGCCTCCCTTTTTTGCTGCAGGGGGAAGTCACCTAGCATTATAGATGACAGATGGGGAATATCCCTGACCATGGCAGACATCACCAATCAATTGCAGCATGTGCATAGTGGTAGAATTCAACATAGTATCCCATGCAGACATTATTAATTGATTCTGTGCTCATGATGGAACCTCTTGGCTGGCCTGGTGTGTTAGGAGACAGGATCACAGTAGAGCCATTAGACGTTGCTGTATAGAGGCGCATGCTTATCTCTGGACGCCATTGCCTTCTAGTCCCTCCTGTCCACCTTTGAGGAAGTTCTTGGAGTGCACTGTTCAGAGGCAGTGCAAGGAGACCAAGTCACACATTCCCAGCAGCCCCTGATGCTCTGCTCCACCATGGCTGGTTCTTGGTTCTAGAGGAGCTGAGATCTGGGATGAGGATGCTGCTACTTGGCCATTTCTTCACCTCTCATAGAATCCAGAGAAATGATGAAGCTGTGTTCAGCAGAGGTTTTTTTTTTGTTTGTTTGTTTTGTTTTTTTTTTTTTGTTTTGTTTTTTTTTTTGTTTTTCTTGGTGCCATGAGATGGCTCTCAGAAGCCCTGTTGATGGGCCAGGGGCAGATCCTTCATCTGTCAGAACCGGTAGAATGTCTACATCCCAAAGTGATTGTGAGCTAAGAAGATGGCCACCAAGGGCCTGTCCTCAGCCAGTTCTACTCCTGGGCTAGCCTCGTCAGAAGACGTCCCTGGACACGGGCCGAGTGCAGGAGCCACAGGCTTGGCTCCTGACCTGAACCGACACCTCAGGCTCTCTGGAAGAGTCTGCTGGAAATCCAGGGTCTTACTCAACAACTGCCGGACAGATGGGTGTGGGCGGGGGTGGCCAGGACAGGTGCCTTATACTTTGCTCTAGCACATTCCAAGGCATTTCAGGGCTCCAGCACCTGGAATCCCGTATGTCAAAGCCAGTATTAAATCAAGTTTATGCATTCCTCAGAACGATGGTTTTGGAGCAAGTGAGCTTTAGGATTGGTTTCGTCTAGCTTGCTTGTGCTCCTGAGTGCCCCATGTGCATGAGTGTATGTGTGTGTGTGTGTGTGTGTGTGTGTGAGTGTGTGAGACCGTGTGCACATGTGTGCATGCATTCGAATGGGACTTCCAGCCCCTGGAAACCACCTCGGGTAGCCCTGTTCCATGGATCTCCCCTATATTTGCTCCAGCTGGGATTCAGGGTTCAGAGAAGAGGACCATAGCTGGGTGCTAACTGGGGCTGGGACCCTCACAACCGGCCTCTTCCTGGGTTGAGGCTGGAACACTGTGAACGCCCAGGTATGGTGCCAGCCAGACCAGGAGAAGCTTCTCTGTCACTAAGATGCTGATGGGGAACAGGGAGGTCCCCTAGGAACAGCAATGGATGCCTAGGGCACCGGCTAGGTTCTTCAAGTGACCACATGGTCCCTGCTGAGCTCTTGAGCAGTTCTGTCTCCTGTGCCCTTGGGGCTGGGCATTTGATTGGAATTGTCTATAGACAGCCAGCCCACATGGGGTCTCTCTCCTACCCAACTCCTACTCACCCTTCAAAGCCCAAATTCACACTGAGGTTTTGTGTGATTCTGGGGTTATCCTCTGCACTCCTCATTCCTTGTGCACATCTGCACCCATCTGAGAGCCCTGTCTGTCGCTCGGGTACATAAGCTGCTCCTGGAGGGCACGGCCGACTTCCCACACCTGGCATGCAATCTGCCTTTTCCCATTGGCAAGGGTTTAGGCCAATCCCCTGCTCTCTGTGGCAGAGATCCCCAGCTACAAAACAAAGTAAGCAAGACAACATCTTATATTCGGGCCTGGAGAGATGGCTCAGCAGTTAAGAGCACCGGCTGCTCTTCCAGAGGACCCGGGTTCAATTCCCAGTGCACACGGCAGCTCACAACCATCTCTAACTCCCATCTCAGGGAATCTGACACCCTCTTCTGGCCTCTGTGGGTACCCGGCGTGCATGTGGTGCACACGCAGGCAAGATACCCACGCCAATAAAGATGAATCAATGAATGAACTCCGGAAGGGCAGCACCTCATAAGGCTGCATGGAGGAAACAATTGGGTAATAAATCCACAGTGGGCCTGGCGAGACGCCTCAGGTGGCCAAGGTGCTGCCTGTCAAGCCTGACAACATGAGTTCAGTTCCCGGGCCCACAGTGGGAGAGAATGGACTCCTGAAGCTGTGTGGTTTACACACACACACACACACATACACACACACACACACACACACACACACACACACACACACACATAAAATAACTTCAATTGCAGCATCCAGCTGGGTGCCCTAATTAGTCGTGCCAACCGTCCACTTGGAAAGTAACTGAAATTTCCACTATGGGTAACATTTGGGGGCATCCTGAAAGGCCTTGACCACTCTCACTCCAATTCAAGACACACTGCCCATAATCTGGCGTCATTCAGGAGAGGGAGTTTCCCAGCATTCCATTCCACCCCAGCCCAGACTCCAGAGAGCACCTGAGCAGCACAGCAGGGACAGGTACTCCCATGGATCTGTGCCTCTGTCCCAAGAACGTCCTGGGTGACTCGCCAGCTGTTTGAGGCAGAGAGCATGCATTTCACTATTGTCATGCCAAGAGCCAGGAGACTGCCGCAACGCGTCACCCAGTTCACCCAGCCAGTGCCCGGGAGAGCTTTCTTGGAGGGCTTAGAACAGGCCAGGGCTGGGGAAATTTGAATCAATCTCAGACCAGAGCTAGATTAGAAGTGTGAGTGGGACTGGATGGGAAGGCCCAGGAGGGAAGCCCTGGGTGACAGGAAGAGGAAACAGTGCCTGGATGGCAAGCAGACATGTCCAAAGCTGCCCTGGCTGGGGCTGGGTCCTCGCACAGCAGCAAAACGGGACTTGAGGGAGCTCTCAGCCCCGCCCCTCTGCCAACCCAGCTCTATCTTCCCCTCCCCATCTCTCTCCTCATCCCTACTTTTTTCTTTTCTTTCCTTTCTTTCTTCTTTCCTTCCTGACCTCCCTCCTCTCCCTCTTTTTCTTTCTTTCTTTCTTTCTTTCTTTCTTTCTTTCTTTCTTTCTTTCTTTCTTTCCTTCCTTCCTTCCTTCCTTCCTTCCTTCCTTCCTTCCTTCCTTCCCTCCCTTCTTCCCTCCCTCCCTCCCTCTCTCTCTCCTTTTCTTCTTTCTTTTTTTCTTTTTTTGAGACAGGGTCTCTGTACATAGCCCCGGCTGCCCAGGAACTCACTATGTAGACCAGGCTGCTCTCAGACTCACAGAGATCCACCTTCTGGGGATAAAGGAATTCACCACCACACCCAGCTTCTCTCTCTCTCTCTCTCTCTCTCTCTCTCTCTCTCTCCTCTCTCTCTCCTGATTCCCTGCCTCTTTCCCCCAGGGCTGAGATGATGGGGCTACACCACCACACCCGCTTTCTGCAGTGCTGGGGATGTGGCCAGCGGCTTGGTGCTTGTCAGGCAAGAATGCTACCAGCTCAGCCACACCCTCACTTCCCAGATCTCTTTTCCCTCTGAGTCTGGAGACAAATACTGCAGGTTTTCCTCTAGAGCTCTGCCCCAGCCCAGTGATGGGCACGTAGAGAAGGAGGATCCCTGGGCTCACTGGCCAGCCAGTCTGGCTGAACTGGTGTGTTCCAGGTTCAGTGAGAGACGCTGTCTCACAAAACTAAGGTGGGGGCCTACAAGCTAGCTCAGCCCGTAAAGGCTCTTCATGCCAATGATGGGGACCTGAGCATCTGATCCCTGGGACTGACAGAATAGAAGGAACACCCCCCTCCCCAGGATATCTGAAAGTTTGAGGGCTGGAGAGATGGCTCAGAGGTCCAAAGGTCCTGAGTTCAATTCCCAGCAACCACATAGTGGCTCACAACCATCTACAACGAGATCTGGTGCCCTCTTCTGGCACTCAAGTGTACATGCAGGCAGAACACTGTATACATAATACATAAATCTTTTTTTTTTTTTTTTAATTATCTGAAAGTTATCTCCTGAGCTCCATATATGAGTCATGGCAATCTTCCAGCCCCAATGTAAATAAAAATGTGATTGAAAAAAACAAGATGGAGAGTGACTGATGAAGGTGACTGATACTGACCTCTGCCCTGCCTTCATGTGTACATGTATACTCAAACCTGCATACCAATGTGCACACACATGAACACATAACAAATATAAATAAATAATATAATTTATAAACAAGAACAGAAGATGTGGGTTTGGACACTGAGAGGTATCACCACCTGGCGTTCAGCCGGCATTTGGAGATAGCTGGAGCCTTTGGAGTCAGGCATGTCACCACTGGCTGTGGCAGCTCTCTGCACACGAACCCCCTCTTATTCCAACAATAAGAGGGCTGGGGTCCTGGGTGAACTGAGCAGCATCGTTCACTGGTCCCTGCCTCCTGAAGGGGGACACAATGTGATCGCCTCTCTCCAACCCCTGCCACCGTGCCTTCCTGCCGTGATGGCTACACCCTCAAACCGTGAGCCGCAACGAACCCTGCTTTATCACAGCAGCCAGACAAGAAACTGTTACACCATGACACTCTGTCCTGTGTGTTCCCATCAACGGTGTGAAAAGGTCCCAATTTCTTTGCCTCCTCACCCACCTTCTACTCATAAAACACACACATACATGGACACGACACCACACGAGTTACAGGCAGGCACACACACACACACACACACACACACACACACACACAGTCTCACTGTGTCGCTATGGATGGCCTGGAACTCTCTATGTAGACCAGGATGTCTCTAACTCACAGGCTCTACCTGCCCCTGCCGGGATTAAAGGTGTGCACCACCATGCTTAGCTAAAAATGGTTTTAATTTGTTCTTTGACAAGTTAATACACGTGTTAGGGGGAGTTCTGTGTTTTAATGATGTTCATCCCATTGTCTCCTTTTAGCCCTCTCTCTGGTCTGGTGTCGCTTAAGGTGCACAGGCAATTTACCAGTGGCTACGCCATTGAGGAAAGTGGCTGTCCTTCCCCAGAGCTTCTCAGGGGCGAGTGTGTGGAACGTGGATGGGCCAAGCTCACGCTGCATTCTTGCTCAGTTTTTGAGACAGGGTCTCATCCTGGTGCCCAGGCTGAGTTCCTTCTTCAGCCTCCTAAGTGCAGGCATCATAGGTACATATCATCAGACCCGGCAGCAGATACTTGCTGCTCCGGTCTGGACCCTGCACGCCCCCATCTCTCAGGAGAAAACCAGGTTCTCAGTGAGAGCACCTCCGAGAATGAGGAGGCAGGCAGGGCAGACGTGGATCCGAACCCCCCAGTGTCAAGTCGAACTTGCCAGCAGCCCAGATCACCTGCCGGCATGCAGGCAGTAGCAGTTCTCCAGGGTAGGCCTCTGAGTGTCTGTTATGCACCCTTACACAGCACTGGCTGACTGTTGTACTGTTGGGATCTCACCGCATTATAATGAGCCCTTCATACCAGCGTGTGAAATATTTCCCTATGTGTCTGTGTGTAGGAGCGAGCACGTGCCCATGCCTGCACGCATGCAGGGGACAGAGGACAGTATCAGGTGTCCTGCTCTACCACTCTTCATGGTATTCCTTTGAGACAGGGTTTCTCAGTGAGCCAGAAGCGAGGCTGGAATTCAACAAATCATAGTGAATCTTCTGTCTCTGGTCCAGACAGTGTTGGCCGGGGTCACAGGCGTGTGTGTGTGTGTGTGTGTGTGTGTGTGTGTGTGTGTGTGTGTCCACACCGGGCTCTTTACATGAGTGATGGGAGATTTGAACTCAGGTCCTCATGTTTGTGCCGCGTAAGCCACACCCTCAGCCCCAGAGCGAACTGTTTGAAGCTGCCGTGCTCATCTTTGTAACCCTACCATCCTGTGTGTTACCTGTGACAGGCAGCTCTGGGTTATTAACAGGATATGCCTGCCGACAGCCGTCCTTTGTCTCGGGGGCTCTTCCTAGGAGCCCATCTCTTCATTCCTGGGAAATCTATCTTTT